CACTATTATTTTATACTAGAGGCCCGGTGCACAAATTCATGCACAGGTGGGGTCCCTTGGCCTGGCCGGCGATCGAGGCCTATTGGGGGGACCGCTGGATGGGGTAGGGATTATGGGAGGTTGACCAGCCGGTCCCCCCGATCGGGCCATTGAAGGGCCTGCTGGCTGGAGGGGGAGGGGGTATGGGAGGTTTCCTGTCTGAACCTCTGATGGGGCCCCACGGGGAGGGGCCATGGGAGGTTGGCTGTGGGGGCGACTGACCACCAGGTAGCGGCTCCTGCATTGAGCGTCTGCCCCCTGGTGGTCAGTGCGCGTCATAGCGACTGGTCGACCGGTCATTCCAGTCGGTTGTCACAGGCATTAGGCTGTTATTTATATAAATAGATGAGCTCCAAGTGTGAGCCACTATAAAGGGTGTCCCAGAATTCACGCAAGATATGAATTCTGCGTGAGCATTAACAACAACAAAAAAACCATAAAAGCCTGATTGGACTTGGTTTATTGGATCAGATTCTAATATCTGTTGCCCTTTGATGTCAATCCCTTCGATTCGATAAGCATCACCAAGCACCCATGATGGCCCAGGAGCAGGGACAAGGAAGACCAACGAAGACCACGGCTTTGCATCTGTGCCAGCAAAGCCGTGGAGGCCATTTACCCGATGTGCTATTCCATACATAACCCTATACTTTGTCCTTTATGAATCAATAAAAAATTTACAATTTTTAATTTTAAACCTGTGTTTTCTATCAAAATTACTTCTGGCGTGAATTTTGGGACACCCTTTATATGGACAGGGCCAGGCAGACCCACCTGGGCCTGTGTCTGGGTGTGCCATGGTGAAAGGGCGGGCACCCTGGGCACATGCCTGTGCAGGTGTGACTGCAGGTAGGGTGTGTGACCAGGAGCAGTGCTGTGAGGGGGACACCTCTGTGCCAGCAAAGCCGAGGAGTCCATAGACCCGATGGGCTATTCTATACATAAACCCTAGCGGTGTCGTTTTTGAATCAATAAAAAATTTACAATTTTTAATGATAAACCTGTTTTCCATCAAAATTACTTCTTGCGTGAATTTTGGGACACCCTTTATCACCAACAGACTCACCCCTCGCCAAGCCCAGCTGAGTTTTCATGTTTCCGTCCTCTTCCCCCTCCCCCCCAGGTCCTGGACCCTCTGTGGGACCCCCGAGTACCTGGCCCCCGAAGTCATTCAGAGCAAGGGCCACGGCTGCGCCGTCGACTGGTGGGCGCTGGGTATCCTCGTCTTTGAGATGCTTTCGGGGTGAGTAAGGGATTCTGGGAAAATCGGACCATCCCCTCCCAGGCTCCCTTGGTCTGATCCCTTAGCTCCGAGTTCACTCTGAAAATTTCTGGGGTGCGATTCTCACCGCCATCTTCCTAAATAGGTACCATATGGATCAGCTTCCTATAATAGACCTGTAGTTCGATTTATTCCTGGAATGACCACTAGGGGGCGGTGTTGCTAAGAGGCCTGCAGTTCGATTTCCTCCTGAAGTGACCACTAGGGGGCGGTATTGCTAAGAGGCCTGCAGCACAATTCCCTCCTGGAATGACCACTAGGGGGCAGTGTTGCCTAAAAAAGCCTGCAGCTCGATTTCCTCCGGGAATGACCACTAGGGGGCGATGTTACCTAAAAAGGCCTGCAGCTCGATTTCCTCCTGG